TTTGTTTTATTTGTTTGTTGTTCGAATTTTTTATTCCATTCGGTGATAAAATTTTCATGTTGTTCTGTTGTTATTAATTTTTCCTTTACGAAAAATGCTGCTACGGAGCGAGAGATATGGTTGCGGATGAATTGCAATGCAACACGTTCATTATGCTTCTTTTCTGCAAGTTTTGTTTTTTTCCTCTATACTAATATCATTGTATTGAGGGTCGGAGATGGTTGAGGGGTTAGTTGGATCGTATTTTTCTATATTTGATACTTTGATTTCAGGAGCGTGTCTATAAGTTCTTGTTTGTAATTCGACATGTCCTAATAGCGCTGGACCTCAATTTACTGGCCTGGGTCAGTGGATGTCCCAATGATACGGCCCATTAATGATTCCTAATTATTTTAAATTGCTGCGGCTGGTGCTTTCGGCTAATTCTTGATTTTGCTGGATAATACACATATTTGTATCCTTGGTTGTCCGTTTGGTAGGGCAGTAAATGCTCTAAATGGCACCTGCAATTTTAATATTTTTTTGGGTTTAGTAGTATTGTTTTTTAATTTTTTTATGTTATTATTATTATTTTTTGTTTTTTTCTTTAGTGTTTGTGTTACGAATTTTATCCTGCATAGTTGAGTTGTATGCATGTGCATATTTGGATGCTGATGATCCCTGGTTGTTGGAGAGAGGGGGGAATTCCTCCATATCTTCTTCCATTGTCGTATCATATTCCCCATTTTGGTGTTGTTGTTGTTGTTGTTGTTGTTGTTGTTGTTGTTGTTGTTGTTGTTGTTGCTGCAGATCGTTTAGCATTTCCTTTTTTGATTGAGCCAAATTCTTTTTTTCGAGGTGTACGCTCCTCTCGTTGGCTGCTTGCATTTGGAGCTTTATTTGTGTGTTTTCTTTTTTAAGTTCTTCCACTTGTTGTTGGAGAGCTTTTACGGTTTCCATTATAGATGCCAAGGTACTTTCGTTGTTGTTGTTGTTTTTGTTGTTTTTTGTTGGCGTTGACTTGCTGCGTGTCATTTCCAAGTTGTCGTCGCTTTCTATTCTAGTGCGTTTATTTTGTTGCGAAGTCTTTTTGGTGGTTGTTGTTATTGGTGCTTCAGGTGTGGGGTAAGGTACATCTATGGGGATTGCTCCCGATGCTTTCGCTTGAGTGATTTCATGCTGCATAGATGAAATTGATATTTTTTGTTGACATGCTGTGCATGAGAACAATGGGTGGGGGTTGCTGGCATTAGTGTACCAATGTAAATAATTGTACCTTTGTTGATACATTTTGGACACGTAATTGAGCTTTTGTATGTTTCAAAGTTTGCTAATGTACCCGATCAGCTGGGGGGAGGGTATCCATACCAGAAGCGATCTTCTGTTTAGGAGGTGCCATTGTTGGTTTGATTATTTTTTTTTTTTTTTGGGTTGGTTTTTTCTGTTTGTTGAGGGTGGGAATGAATCTTCCAAAAGCAATTTAGAATTCCAGGAGGAATGAAAATAGATTTTTGGTTAATTAAAATATGTGGGCGTTTCGATAGGATAGTTTTTGATTGCTGTAAGTTGGTAAATTAAAAAGTTGACGGTGATGTGGCTTGGCTTGCAGGAGAAAAAATTGTATAAAAGGGCTGATTTTTTGCGCGCGACCTTACTCGGTATTAACCTCGCGCGGTTGGTTAAGTCTTAACATTAGAAGTTTATTAATAATCGCTTATTAAAATATTGTATCAAGATCCCATTAATCGGGCAATGTTTGGATACGAATATGAGGATTTGGGGGTGTGTTGTTAAAAATTAAAGCCTCATAAGGAGGAAAATTAAAAAAAGGGGAAAGGGTTTGTTTGTAAATAATAAAAGTAAATAAAAAGATCAATTTGACAGATTAGCATGATTTCGAATTGAATTTCAGCTAGGCCGTCGGTTTTGCATGAATGGGTTACGAGATGAGAAGTCAGAAAGTCATAGCGTTGGTCAGTGATGATTGGTTGGTGAGGATTTGGAGAGAGATTGAGTGTTATTAGTGTGAGAGCGGATTTGAGTGACGTAATAGTAAGCGGGGGAAAGTGTTGTGCGTAAGAGGGTTTTTTTTTTTTTTTTTTTTTTTTTTTTTTTTTTTTTTTTTTCACAATGCACTATTCCATAATCCACTTGTAGAAGAGAACACCAGGATCGGGTTCATCGACAAAAGTTTCTTGGGTTTTGTGACAGATCTGATCAACGAGGAATAGAATGTTGAGTAGATCGGTCCAGAGAGGTTGCCATTTGATTATTAGATTTTGTTTTTCAGTGATGGACTTGGGCTTGTTAGTTGGGAGTGATTTTAATATTGCGTCGATTGGGTTGATATCATTATGGAATCCACGTTGAATATTTTCCCAGTATGTCTCGGGGATAGCTGGACATATAAGCAAGTGATTTCGACTCATGTGACCGCCACAGTGACAATTCGGCTTTCCACCAGGTAACCAATTCATGCGCCACCTAAGGAGTCGCCTACGTTCTTTTCTAGTCATAGGAATTGTGAGGATTGGATCTATTTTTAAATCAGATCTGCAGCCTTGTATCATCTTTTCCGAAGAATTGATGATGGCGTTAGATCTGTAGGAAGAGATTGTGTGAGTAAGTTTTCTAAAGATGGAGTTGGGAGAGTTATCTTGTTGTAGTGCTTGGAATATTGGATTTTTGTTTTTGATTAGGTTTAGCTTGCTATATCTTGTGTTGGATTGAATAATTTTGTGGATTAATGAATCGGATGGGAGAGAAGCGGAGCGGATTAAGTATTTGGAGTTTAGGGTGTACCATCGTTCGACCATACTTGGAAGATTGACCATAACCCGTAGTGATTTGACAGATGAGTTGGTAAACCCGCCGACAATCATCCGAAGACAGTCATCTTGAAGGCGTTCCAGAGCTGCAAAGTTAGTTGTTTTGAAATTAGATATACACAAACCATATTCGATTTTTGGTCGGATAAATTGCTTGTATATAATGATGGAAAGTAATAAAGAAAAACCATTTGTGCGGGCACCAATTTGATGGATTCGATGCATGCTGTTGTTGACTTTTTGTTTGAGGTTATTGATGAATGCTTGGGTGTCCATTCCAAGGTGGTTGAATTGAAGACCCAGGTATTTCACTGTGGGGGCGGTTGGTAGATCAGTGTTGTATAATGTAAATGTTGTTGAGTATGTTGGAGATGATATGACGGTGCATTTTGTTGGCGACCATCGATATCCATTCAGTAAGGAATGCTCTTCACATAGGTCTAAAAGATGCTGCATTTTATTTGGAGGTGATATCAGGACAACATCATCGGCAAATAATAGGCAGTTGATATCTTGTAGATTATTGGATTGATGAATTTCACTCAATTGTTGAGGAAGCGAGTTGATAAATATAGAGTATAGATGGGGGCTGAGAACGCTGCCTTGTAGTACTCCAGTGATTGGTTGAAATTTATAGGATTGGTGATTTCCATTGATGACTTGTATGTTGACTTGGTCGAATAAATTTTTCAGAATATTTAGTAGTCTAGGATTGCAGTTTTTGTTGTGCATAGTATTCCAGATTGTATTACGTGGGCATTGATCGTATGCTTTTGCAACGTCAAGTGTAATTACTGCTGGAGGGGTGTTGTTGTTGTTGATTTTAAATCGATGCATTAATTCATCAAGCACTACGGCGTGATCCATGGCAGACAATTTGGGTTTAAACCCTCCTTGCTGTATGCTGATGAAGTTTGTTTGTTGGTATAAATGATCTTGGATGCAATATTCCATGACTTTTCTGAACGTTGATGTCAGGCTGATAGGTCTATAATTGCTGGGCTGTGTTTGATCACCGGCACCTTTATAAATAGGGACAATTTGGGATTGACGCCATATTGCGGGTGTGTATCCAGTAATCCAGCTTATTCGGAATAGGTGGTTTAGTATTGTTGAGGTAGAGTCGATGATGGGTTTGATCATTTCGGATGTGATGTGATCGCTGCCCGGACTCTTTTTATTGGGAAGCCTTTTAATAGCGTTGTAGATATGATTTTCTGTGAAGGGGCAGTCATGAAAATCATAGGTATTAATAGGTTCTGTTGTATTGGTATTAGGATTGTTAGTAGTATTAGTATTATTAGTAGTATGTATTATATTGTTTTGAGGTTGTGGTAGGTTTCTTCCGTCGAATATACCCTCTAGATACTGTGCCATAGAGTCAACAGCATGTTGTGGGCCTTCTTCAGTTGTATACCTATGTGTGTTTTTGTTTTTTGATTGTATTATTCTTTTAACAATTGGAATGGCAGCAGTGGGATCATCATCCAATTTTTCACAAAATTTATGGTATGCTGCTGTGCGCGCTTGTTTGACTTCTTTCTTTAGATCTCGGTCAGCTGCCTTATACCTACTCCACCATAAACCCGATTGGAACCCAATTGATTTACGCCATCGTGTGTAACAGGCTTGTCTAAAGTTTGCTCGGCCTTGTAGGGATTTATTCCAGAACCATTTCCAGTTTTTCGGCCTGTAATCTGCTTCTGTGATAATAGTATCAAGTGAGTAGTAAATTATATTGTATAGTTCTTCAGTAAAGTATTCGATTGTGTCGATATTTTCTTGTTGATTTTCTATAATGGTGGATGAGATATCTGCGATTGTTGCAAGATATGTTTGGTATGCTGTCAATTTGTTGATCAAGTTTTTTTCTTGGATTTGATTTTTGAAAGTGGTAATATATGCAGTTGCTACATCATGGTCGATGAGTCTGTTGATTTTCCATCTTTTTCTTTGTTGTTGTTTGTTTTCTGATTCGGTTGATTTTAAGTTATCCCATATAAATGATACGGTCATCAATTTATGATCGGATCCAAGGATAGCAAGATCATCACGAATATCGAGGGTGGGTTGTTGTAAGTCTTGTGGGCTAAGAAAGTAGTCGACAATGCTATTTTCTGTTGTATTATTGTGTACCTGAAAATTAATTCGGGTATATTTTTCATATTGTAATTTAGCGTTCCAGTTAATGATACCGTGTTCGCGTATAAGTTTGCATAATTTTGTTCCCCTAGTATTCCATCGACTATCACCAGTGACTTTACCCATACGTGCATTGAGATCACCACAGATGATGACATTTGATGATAAGGGAATGGATTCGATAATTTGAATTGCTAGGTTATTTTCTAAGGAAGGTGTGGGGGTAAGTAGAGACAGTATATTTTTAAGTTATCTATTGTGCAGATAATGTAGTATTCGGATTTTGTTGTATCCACATAAAGTTTTTCATATTTTAGATTGGGGTTAATAAATAAGGATATACCCCTTTCATGCCGGTAAGAATTAGAGACTGGATGTCCATATTGGTGATATTGAGTCCAGTCAGTTGGTAAATTAGAGGCTGATGGTGGCAGCCAGGTTTCAGTAATAAATAATAGGTCGGTGTTTTTACAGTAGAATATAGTAGAGTCAATGGCTTCCTCGCGGAGTTTACCATTGGCGTTTATGCAGCTTATGTTGAGTTTCCTCTTCATAATGCTTCATCCATTTCTGTTGTTTGTTGTTCTGTTGGTAGATTATTATTTTCAGGGGTACTTTCATCTTTCTTTTCAGTTGGAGAGGGAGTAGCTGTTTTATTGCTGGCAGTAGTATTGTTTGGTGTGGGTGTATTGGTATTATTTTTTTGTTTATTTGTTTGTTGTTCGAATTTTTTATTCCATTCGGTGATAAAATTTTCATGTTGTTCTGTTGTTATTAATTTTTCCTTTACGAAAAATGCTGCTACGGAACGAGAGATATGGTTGCGGATGAATGGCAATGCACGGACAATGCGTTCATTATGCTTCTTTTCTGCAAGTTTTGTTTTTTCCTCTATACTAATATCATTGTATTGAGGGTCGGAGATGGTTGAGGGGTTAGTTGGATCGTATTTTTCTATATTTGATACTTTTGATTTCAGGAGCGTGTCTATAAGTTCTTGTTTGTAATTGACATGTACTAATAGCGCTACTACATTTCTGGCTGGGTAGTGGATGTCCAAGATACGGCCATTAATGATTCCTAATTTTTTTAAATTGCTGCGCTGTTGCTTTCGGCTAATTCTTGATTTTGCTGGATAATACACATATGTGTATCCTTGGTTGTCGTTGGTAGGGGCAGTAAATGCTCTAATGGCACCTGCAATGTTAATATTTTTTTTGGGTTTAGTAGTATTGTTTTTTAAGTTTTTTATGTTATTATTATTATTTTTTGTTTTTTCTTTAGTGTTTGTGTTACGAATTTTATCCTGCATAGTTGAGTTGTATGCATGTGCATATTTGGATGCTGATGATTCCTGGTTGTTGGAGAGAGGGGGGAATTCCTCCGTATCTTCTTCCATTCTCGTATCATATTCCCCTTTTTGGTGTTGTTGTTGTTGTTGTTGTTGTTGTTGCAGATCCTTTAGCATTTTATTTTTTGATAGCGCTAAATTTTCTTTTTGGAGTTGTACGTTTCTCTCGTTAGATGATTGCATTTGGAGCTTCATTTGGGCGTTCTCCTTTTTAAGTTCCTCCACTTGTTGTTGGAGAGCTTTCACCGTTTCCAGTATAGTTGTCAAGGTGCCGTCGTTGATGTTGTTATTTTTGCTGTTTTTTGTTGGCGTTGACTTGCTGCGTGTCATTTCCAAGTTATCGTCGCTTTCTACTCTAGTGCGTTTATTTTGTTGCGAAGTCTTTTTGGTGGTTGTTGTTATTGGTGCTTCAGGTGTGGGGTAAGGTACATCTATGGGGATTGCTCCCGATGCTTTCGCTTGAGTGATTTCATGCTGCATAGATGAAATTGATATTTTTTGTTGACATGCTGTGCATGAGAACAATGGGTGGGGGTTGCTGGCATTAGTGTTACCAATGTAAATAATTGTACCTTTGTTGATACATTTTGGACACGTAATTGAGCTTTTGTATGTTTCAAAGTTTGCTAATGTTACCCGATCAGCTGGGGGGAGGGTATCCATAACAGAAACGTTCTTCTGTTTAGGAGGTGCCATTGTTGGTTTGATTTTTTTTTTTTTTTTTGGGTTGGTTTTTTCTGTTTGTTGAGGGTGGGAATGAATCTTCCAAAAGCAATTTAGAATTCCAGGAGGAATGAAAATAGATTTTTGGTTAATTAAAATATGTGGGCGTTTCGATAGGATAGTTTTTGATTGCTGTAGGTAGGTAGATTAAGAATTGTGAGGAATGTGGCTTGGCTTGCAGGAAACACACGACATAAAAGTTAGTATGATGATATATGGAATTATATATTAAATGAACGCGACCAATAATATGTCGTATGTTTACGAAATGGCTCCAAGAATACTATGTATTCCACGAGCACACGACGGAGTCTGCGGCAAACACTGAGATTATGTTTGGTATGAGGACATAACTTGGCTTGTGGGATATATGATATCGTATATTACATTGCTGTATTCCAAGTTATACATGTATAATGTTTTGTCTGGTATTGCCAGTATCGTATTTCATTGCATGTAGTTTTTTATCTATTACATGAGCTATATGGCGTCTATTATTGGTCTAATACCTTGATTCTGAACTGTTTATAATACAAATAGCTCTTTATTATTGGTCTTTAGGAATGATAATGGGGTCTTAATTATTATATAAATCTATACTATTGGTCTTTACTATTGATAATGGGGTCTTAATTATTACATAAATCTATACTATTGGTCTTCAATATTAATAATGGGGTCTTAATTATTACATAAATCTATACTATTGGTTTGGAAGGCACATTTAAATAAAGCATATTGGACGGATTACGATGAAAAAACGATTTATTTATATAAAAAAATAGAAAATTGGCTGCAATCGAATATACACATACCCTGCATTTAGAACAATAGGGATCGCCCATTTGTATCACCTTGTATCCATTCGTATCACTGTAATTACTGTACATCCATTAATTTTAAGCATGCATCCATCAGTTTTAAGCATGCATCCATTAATTTTAAGCGTACATTCATTGATTTGAAGCATCCATCCATTGGTTTTAAGTGTCCACGCACTGTGTCGTCCCATACCTCTAAAATATCCCACTTACAAACACCTTACGTGAATCCATTATCGCATCACTCATTGTCGGCAATGATGTCTGATTACACAAACCATTGATCCAACCATCATCGATCTTCCTTGTCGTCCAAATTTATATCGATCCATCCACTCTTACATACAAACGTACCAGCTGTGTTAATAAGAAACAAGGTAGCCATCAGAATTGCAATTAGGTCCGTGACGGAACATGGTCCACATAATTCCACTAAAAAATGCATAAAAAAGATATATTGTTTAAAATTAGCTCGAGATTGGTATGTTTACTATTATTGAAGCTTTACCTTGAAACATACGTATCGTGTATTGTTTTCTAAAAGATAAGGTTAATAAATAAATAAAAGAAAACAAAAAAAAAACTCGCTACAATATTATACCTGTTCAAGATTACGGGGAATGACGTAGATTTCAAGCTGCTCAAAAAGCGGAGACGACTTCTTTGACTTCTATGCCTACAAGGTATTGGGGTTAATGTAAAGCTAGGAATGAGTCATGTAAAATGTACCATTATCTGTGGGCTAGGGAGAAAAAAAAGCTTGAGGGAAAATAGAAAATGGAAACATGGCTTACTGTTAATTGAATTAGTTTTGCATACGGACAAATAATAGAGTCTTACCCAACAATGTTGTCTGGAAATTAGACGGCAGATTTTTAAGAAGGGTGGTAAGGAATGCTACTAATTGAAATGGGCGAACACAGATTAGAAGAAACTAACATGGCTTGTATAAGCGTGAGTATATTTGTTACCTTTTTCGATCGACACACTGAACTTAGCAAACTGGCATTATTATGAACTTACGGAAAAGAAAAAGAAATAAAAATGTCGAAGAAGAGATGTAAAAAAAAATAAAAAAATAAAAAAAAATTTATCATTCTTTAAAAAAGCAAGGTCACACCAAATTTGGCATTTAAAATCGATCATCATCCCTGGAAATAATAAGCCTGTATTTTACATAAAACATTAACAATGAGCAACAACAATACTCCCCGCCAAGAAAGACCTGACGTCGTCTCGACAGCTTCTCCTAGAGGTCCCGTCTTGAAAAGAAAAAGTCAAGGAGACCAAGATTACGCTGCTCTCGCCGCAAAGGTAAACAGCTTGTCTGCCTGTGTTGCCGATCTGCAACGCAAGTTAGACCAAGCCCCCGCTGCTGGACCAGTTGCCAAGATGAATAGAGGCAAGCAAACCGAGCTCGTTGTAAGATAAATTAAAATATGTATGTTTGAATAATTATTAACAAATATTACAGCGTTTGGTTCATCATGCATATGAACGTTGCGTCAATCGAGACAAAATGCCGTTCAATTTGAATGGCTCAATGGTCAAGGACAACAGCCATGTTCGTGATCAAATTATTAAGTATTGCAAGGAATCTGCGTACTTTGACAGATTTCTCCTGTCAAATAAGACTGGGTTTACGATAAGAGGTAAGGAAATCGTGGAAGGTGTCATTCTGTCCTTCCTGAACAACAAGAAGGTCAAGGCCAAGAATGATGCCAGCCCCCCCGAAGTGACTCAGTTCAAGAGGACAGAGAAAAGGGTCAAGGAGAGAAGAAGCAGAGTAAGTGAGACTTTTAAAATAAATAATATAAAAAAAAATGCTAAAGAGTACCTTTTTCTTGTTAGAAACTCGCTCGTAGATTGGCCATCTACAAAAGCCATCCCGAGGAAACACCTGCTTTCGCAACGGCCGCTGAATGTTTGAAGGTTCTGGTAAACGGTTGCCAGTCGGACGAAGAGGACGTTCCCGGCGATAAAACATTGCTGGATCGTCAGGTGCCAACTTGGAGATCCAAGAATGTAAGTCCAATTAATATGACAATTTTTAAAAATTACTAACATTTGTGATACCTTCCTTTTCAGTTGAATGATTTCTTCAAAAGGCTTGACAAAGTTCATGACGATGAAGCAACAAGAAAATGGGGTGAAAAGAAAAGAGTTGATTCTGTGGTTGTAACGGCATTGCATCCTGATCTTGAGAGAAAACTTCCTGCTTGGTCCAAAGCTGTATAAAAAAAAATAAAAAAAAATTAAAAATACATTTAAAAAAAATAAAACAATTTTATTGTTCTATTAATTTTCTATGAACAGTAAAAAATATATTGGTATTAGACAAAACATCAAAGTACATACCAATAGGTGAGTGAATGTTTGCAATTGGAAGGATACAAAGTTCAGACTCGTCTTCAAAAGTATTTTGACAAACTCCACTGTTGATCGAATTGAACGTGGTGATCAGCGTTTGGTGGGGCTTGTAAAAATGAACAAAAGCAAAGGTGAAAGTGGAGACGACATAAATGTCATCTACGACATGAAGACGTACGTCATGTCTGAAGAAAAATTTGATCTGAGCAGGCCGCAACTGAGGAGACATACCAGCAACGTTGGGGTTGTAATATGCTCTTATAAAACTACCTCGGGCTGAAGCTGTTTCATTTGAGTTGTACTTGTGACCCATGATGCTGATTGTATTGAACTTTACCATCAAGTTGCTTACCCTACTTTCGGGTTGAGTACCGTTCAACAAACAATTATCAAGTTCCACGGATATAGAGCGATAATAATCAACCAGGTGACCGAATTGGGCATATGACAGTCGAAATGGTTTCTTGTTGAACTTTAAATGCCGGATAGTGGTTGGGGGCAGCACTTCATGACCGTAGGCTTCACTTGGACTCGTTGTGTCGCCGTATGCTAGGAACGCAAAAATATCGAAAGTAGATATGGACTGTAAGATTTCCGCTTTCAAGATATTTTCCACATAATACTGCCGGGTGGCATGAATATCAACACCGATAAACAAATTCTTCAACCTTGTATCCAAATTGTTACCAAGACCCAATGAAGGGAATGTCCGAGTCAGGTCGACATGATGGACAGTTTTCAAAAAAGTCGACATGACCGTGTGTTCAAACTTGGGCTTTTTGTTTGTACTGACATTCTTGAGGTCCTTATTGCATCGTTCATAAAAGAAGGCCGAATGAGAGCATAAGGGGCCATAATCTTTTATTCCTTCAGCCAAGTGTAACATGTTGTGAGCGTTTGGATATAAACTCTCTTTACCATACAAGCTGGTGAAGCCGATGCAAAAACTTCGTAACAGGCCATGAGCCTTGGTAACATTTTCCTTCGAAATGCTGGTTGTTGACATGAGCTGTACCGCTTCGACAAACAACATCCAGTTTGCATACATGTCAACAGGGAGACGTCCCTTCAGGAGCAAGGGAGACAGACATACGGTGAACACCATATATTCTGCAGCTTTCATGTACGAAAATCCATCTCCAACCAGTATCTTTCTCGCGATTGAACCAGAGTCATAACCAAACGGAAGAATAATCTTGTCACTCATTAAAGCCATCTCTTTTAAATGATTTTTGGTGAGATGACCTTCTTTGATCCAGACCATTGACAAGATTCGTTTAGTTGTGCCCATGTAAAGATTGTGCATACTATCGTAGACTGTAAAACGAACAGGGTCAAAATAGTCAAGCAAATGCAGCTGAGACCATCTTGTACCATTCTCCTGAACCAGAGAGACCCTTTTAGCTTCGGTAGTAGCACGTTTCCACTCCTTGGCATACCTCAAGTTGCTTGCCTTGTTACGACGAGGCCAATTGTGATCTTCCCAGCCAGAATAATCGCGACCAGGAAGGCCAGGTACAAGAGCAGGGAAACGCCGATCACATTTTCGACAAGCACAAATGCTGTTAAAGAAAGAAAAACCACATAGCTTGGCGGCGGCAGGAAGATCTGCAACTACGAGAGTCAGTGCAGCTCTTACAAAAACAGACGTATTATCTGGCAAGGACATAGTAACACCAGTTTTTAATAACATCAGTTCTTCAACCAGAGGAGCCAAATAATTGTTGATTTCATCCAACTTGCTTTCCTTCGGACCTGGCATCAACCCTGCAAGCATAACGTACGGTCTTGTGTCACGCATTTGCTTTGGCAAATTAAGGATTGACAAGTAGATGGCACCGGTAGAATGAGAACTGTAGGTGTAATTTTGGTACCAATCTACACCAATAGAAAGCATCAGATTATGGTCGGACTGATCAACAAACGGAGTGGTATCTTGTTCGTCTATCTTGAAGCTCTTGAAAACATCACCATCATACACGTCATAGTAATGGTCATCATCTTTAAGATTTCTTGATTTCCAAGCCTTGACGGAATTGGCAAAATTATCGCGCATATAGAACTTTCGTAACGTTTCAATGATTGAATTGTACATGTACACTGCCCTTGGTAGATACGTTTTAGCTTTTGTGACAGTGTACAGAGGTTCGCCACATGTTCGTGAAACATTACCCAGTTGATCGGTACGGGTAGCAGATTTGCATTTAAAGTTAGCCTGACGGTGGAGCTGGTCGTGCTCAATTGAATAAAGGTTGTGGCACTTTAAACAATCAACGTATTGTTTGACACCGTCGAACAAATAGCTATTCACACCAGATCGGTTTTCGAATGTAGACTTTTTTCGTGGAAATCTATAGCTCATCTCCATCAATTCAAGTGCGACATTAAAAAACCCATGATAATTTCACTGGCATCTTCAGTAAGATGGGCGTTTAAAAAGAGCATCATAAGATAGAACACAAACGCGAGAGGTTCCGAAGGAAATAATCGTGAATCCGAAGTATCACCAGAAGCAGTACCGGAAGTTTCACCAGGAGTATCACCAGACGTATTACCAGAAGTGTCTTCATCTTCGTTGGTACTATCCTCGGACTCAGTGTCGCTTACATATTCAGATTCCAGTATAATATCTATTGTTTTTTTTGTAAGACAATTTTAGTATATTGGTGGATATAAAAAACTGTGAATATATACAAGTCTTACCTTCGTCACAATGTTCATCAAAATCATCCGCTCCATGTGGATCATCCATTAAGCTGTCGCCTTCCGCATCGACAGAAGTGGGTCCATAATTACGGTTCATAGAATCAACTATTAAAAAAAAAAAAAAAAAAAAAAAAAAAGATCAGTTTATGTGTATGTTGTATTTACGGTGTATTTAAGATACATACCTTGTGTTATTCCGTTCGACATTAAATATTGTTTACGTCGTTCTTCACAAACACGTTTATCAGTTTTCCCATAATGTCGTCTGAGAGTTGACTGGCAGACCATAACATAATCTGCGTCCGCCGTGCACGTATCACAGAAGCATGGCCGTTTTGGAGGGGCCATGTTTAGTGCTTATGAGAAAAATAGATAAAATGTATAAATGTGTAAAAGGGGGTTAAAAATGTGAGCACTTTGAAATATAATTTATATCAATGATTAAAGTCGACACATGTGTTGGGAAAGGTTATGTTTCATTTATTGATTTGGCAGGCTAAAAATATTAGGTATAAATGGCGCTTAAAACTCTCCGTATAAAAAAACGAAAACCTCTTGTTTTCTATAAACAATTACATCTTGTGTAATCGTGGGGAGGATATGATTGCTTCTTTTAAATTCTGTAAGATTATTATTCTCAACGCTATTATACTCGACGCAATTAATAGCTTGTTCCTTTTTTTTTTTTTTTTTTTTTTTTATTAAGCGTAACACAATAATGTACCGGGTAATATTTTCGGCTGCTGTTCTAAAAAAAAAAAAAAAAAATTCTTTTCTGTGGATTCTTTTTCTTTTTTCTTCACTCTTTTTTCTTTACTCTTTTTTTCTTTTTTCTTTTTTTCTTTTTTTCTTTAGATAATGTATATCCAAGTCAACGTAAGTGCGATAATTAAGTTAGAAATATCTATATGATAAAGAGTGGATTGTCGATATTGCAAAAGATGGGCAGCGATATCATCAGTAAGAAGCAGAAAGGTAACCACCCTTTTTTCTTTTTGTTTTTTCTTTTTTTTAACTAGGTATTTGGATTAGGATAATGAGTAGACTGAATAACACTATTTTGGGTGAGGCATTACGACGGATTCACACCATGTCTATAAAATATTGCTTATTTATAAACAGATCAGCGTCACTATAGTTACATGGAGGAATGACGATTGGGATAAGGATAAAAAATGAACATCACTATTGGCGCTTATACACTGATGACAGTTATCTTTCCTATTGAATAATCTAGTGAATGTATCATCAACAAGACTACGTTGTTTTTCTGATAATGTATCATCCAACTTTATTATCACATCCATCATACAAACGACGAAACCGACATCTCACATCCACTGTCTATTTGACGGGTACTTGACCTTTCATGACCAAATTTTGATACGACGTAGATCACAGCTGTATGCATTAGGAGTCCCGAGATCAGTCTTGTATCATGACTTTGGCTCACGATTTCGAGCTGGTAGTATCATCTTTTTTTTTCTTTTTTTTCTTTTTTTTTTTTTTAATAAATCAATACTTTTTGGAACTCAGAACAATCCCCCCATTTATAATAAGCGTGCAAGAACATCAGTTTTAAAGCTATCGCGATGAAAGTAGTACCATTAGAACGAGATTTTTTTTTATATACGTGGGATATTTAAAGTATGGGGAAATAACATTAACTGACAATTTATCGTATCCATTCATAGGCATAAACAAAATCAAAATAAAAATAAAACCCAGACACAGAGACACCCCCCATCTATTAAAAAACATGTAAAACCATCAATTCTGAAGCTATCTTTACCAAACTAGCACCATTAGAAGGGGAATTTTTTTGAGACGTCTCTGTATTTTTATGTTAAAGAAATTACCCTTTGATACAAATCGAAAATTCATAATTATGGCCAGATAAACAAACTTTTTTTTTTTTTTTGGGCTTGACCCCCCACACCCCCAATATGACTTCTTTTTTTCCTGGCTTTATTTACCTTTTTTTTTTTTTTTTTTTTTCTTTTCTTAATGATTTCTAGTCCATCATCATACATTACTTTGCTCATGTTTATAATCGACAACACACAGCCCGAACACTACAAGTTCAACAAACACAAATTTATTGACCTTTGCATTGGATTTGAAGAAGCATGTACTTTACACCCAAAAACGTAAATAGTCGG